CCCTCTCTTAAAAGGCTTTAATAAATGTAATATACACATGTACAAATAGTTTATTTATTTCATATATTCTATATTATATCACACACACATCTATAAGTATATGTGATATATACTACTTATAGATTGTACCGTATATTACATATTTATTATACATATACGTGTGAAGAGTTAAGTAAACACCGAATGCTTTCACTGGTAATCATAATAATTAGAGAAATTTTAATGTTTCAAATGTTTCTACCAAACGATAAGAAAAACATTTAACTCATTTGGTGTTTATATTTTGCCCTAAATTTAGCCAAAACTGTGACATAAACCTCCGCTCATAAATATCTGTGAAATATATCATAAAATTGATTAAATTTATTCAAAATATTCGCCTTATTTTGTTTACGTGAATAGACCTTAAAACTAGTGCTAAGACTATGAGCCATTCATTTAAGAAATCAAATGTGAAATATTTGTGTGGTTTTACTTGCCATTGAGTCTGACAAACATCCGGATTAATTAAGTATTAAACACTCGTTATAAAAATTAAATATATTTTTTGGTATTTTATCTATTTTTTAGATTATTTATAATACTTTCATGACTTGGTTTTAATTTAATTTTCTTTTTCTTTTTGCGAAAAATTCGTGTTTTCGTGAGTTTTGTATCTAAGCTTAAAATGCATTCATTTATGAAGTGATTTGAAATTCTACACTATTTGCGAGTCTGACATGAGATGAATGTATTATATTTACAATATATTCTACTGTATATTCTGTGCAAATATTTTCAATTGTAAATTTGATCTATAAATGTAGTACAAACCGATTGTTTTGATTGTATCATATTTATATAACTTATTGATAATAATGAAAATGTGTGTCATTTTGTGCACAGAATGGACTCGGGAGTGGACAACCCATTCAGACCTGGCTCTGAGCTGAGCAAAGAGGCCGACATTATTGTGAACCTAATAAAAGAGGGAAAGCCTATCACTCCGACCAAAGAGACAGTGGACGGCCCTAACGGACTCAACGGCCTTAACAGTGAAATTAATGGCAAACGAGACATCAGTCTACTGGAGAAGTCGCCCGAAATGAACGGAACGCCTAAGAGTAGGGCGCCGGCCGTCGTGGAGGTGAAGCAGATGGTCGTCCCCTCGAATGACTCGAAACAAGTGGCAGAAGAGGTGACACTTAAAAAGCGGCGCAAATGTTGTACTATTCAGTGATTGTGAAGACATGAATCAGTTTAGAGACTCTCGACTCACAACTCAACCGCACATCCATTTGGATAGCATTTGTATTATTGTTGATATTTTTCGATTCAATGGCTTTTAATAGGACTGCCGGTGATTATAATATAAGTTACATTAAGATACCATACCTGCGCTAAAACCATAGGCATAACTGATTTAATAGAGATTTAATGCGAAATAAATATATATTGAAATGCCTTTCAATCGCTTGGATTGAACACAGAAAACGACAAAATACTAGTCAATTGCCATTAAAAACGCTTTTATATAGAATTCACTGAATTGTGAACAAAAAATCATATATTGAAGTGATTTTGAAGCGAAACATCACTCACTCTCTCAACCGCTAATAAATCGCTGCAAATAATCATCACTTCATCGGTCAGTTGTTGTTTGCCTTCAAATGATATCATAAATAGTTTTCATGTTTTTCATATAATTTATATATAATATAAACGTATTGTTCAAATGGATTCATCACAACCTCCC